ATATATATATATATATATATATATATATATATATATATATATATATATATATATATCTTACCATATATATATATATATATATCTTACCATACATTATCTTCACGAGTTTGGTATCACCTAATTTTTCGGTATCAGAACTACCGGCCCACGTAAATGTGCACACAAGCTCGTCTGTCATGGTCTGTCTAAAACACATGTGTACGAAATCTCGTAACTTAGAAGCACCTATACCACACAAATGATTATACTGAAATAAAATAAATAATTATGTATTACCTTTATTTTATTACTATTTTCACATAATTTAACTAACTTACAAACCATTTAAATATTGGGATAATACAAAAAATTTATATAATACAGTGAATTCAGATATCTTTTTGTCGTTATTTGTTAATTCAATCGTTATTTATTTATTTGTTAAATATTTATTTATTTTATTTATTTATTCATTCGCGTTTATTAATGTATTTGTGAATTATTTATTAATTTTCGCACATTGCATGTAATGGATTTACAATGGTACTTACCAATTTGTAATGTTCATTTTTCTTTGATTGATCGTTTTCTAATTCATCAAATTGTTCGACACTTTCCAACGGAAAGCCCTCCAACGCCTCATCAAATGTGTGTACACCAATTTGTACTTTATTGTTTCTTTCATTCATGTGGTTTATTGCTTTTAGCAATTTCTTATTCGCTTTCATAACTGTTTTAAAAGATTTCGCAGTGTCATCTTCAAATTTCCTGCAAAGTATTCATATACAAGTATTATAATTACATAATATAAAATGTTTAATAATTTTGTTAGCAATTTAAGTATACTATGGGGAATGTAATGTTTTTCAGCATGGATTTTAGATACACGGAATATTGATCATTATTTTGTAAGGATCTCTGAACACATATTTTAATGAGGCACGTCAACAGTAGACAATATAAAGTAATAAAAGGAATTATGATTGACAAAGGTAATTGTGGTAATGAAGTAAGATAAATAGGATACTGAAATAAATCGTTTCGAATATTGTTAGCAACAATTTTATTTTCAAAATATGTATATTTATGTAAATGTAAAATCAAAATTGCTTTTCACACAAAAGGCATAATTTCCCAGATTGTTAATATTTTTAGATGTTACTCACTTGACTCTTTTTAAGATTTCTGAACAGTTGCACCTGCTCCTATCTGGATAAGAATTATTTTCTTTTTCTATGTTACTATGTAACGTTACATCGGAAAATGTCTCATTTGCTCCTGCATTCTGTGGGGACTGAACCGCGGTCGGAGAATCATAATAAATTTCTTCACTTCTGAAAATAATAAATACATGTATATAATGACAAAATATGCAACAATCAATATTTCATAACATTATTTCTGACTTTTCATTGTAATTTATGATATTCATTGCGTTTCATCAAGAAGTAAAGTTGTCATATATACTGTATGATTATGTACCAATGCAGTTTCAACGATTATTGTTAGTTAGCAAATTAATTAAAGTATTTCTTTTAGTATTAACGTATAAATATGTACTTACAACTTGTGGGAAGTAATTGATACGTGTTCTTCCGATGATGAATGTACATCTCTTTCTTTTGTACTTTCTTTTTCTTCCGACAAAAAATCTTTTCCTTCTCCTTCAATGTCTTCCTCCGACGGCGAACGAACGTCCTTTTGTTTATTCGTTTCCTCCTCCGCCGAATAAACCCTTATTTCTTTTTCTTCAGTTTTTTTTCCACTTTCTTCCATTTTTTTGACAAATAGTTGTAAACGTAATATTTCGGCCTTCATTGTTTTTGCGTCAAGCTTTGATTTTTTTTTCGCATAGGCCCTTCCTCTGAAGACGTTTCAATTTTCTTCGGGCGTTTTATCGTCCTACCACTAACTTTGGAAGTTGTCCCTTCTTTCTTCTTTTTTGATGTCTTTTTCATATTGATAAACTATGAAATTCATGATACATGTAATTTGTGTCAAAAAATGAATCGTTTCCTTACAGTAATACTGTAATGTTACTGTTTATTTGTATGGACTTTGCACAGAGTAGAATAAATGTACCGATAATAATAATGTACCAATTTGTTATTATTGACAGAGCAGGTGGTATTTATTTTCTTTATTTATATTTATTTATTGTTGAGGTATTATTAAAGGTGTAAGTAAGGATACGCAGATCCATTCATTTTCAATTATGTTTTCTTCTTGTCCTTCTACGCCACTCCACTTAGGCATCCTGTACATTTTGGCTTTGACGTCGATTAAGTTGATCGCTTCAACTGTATTCGATAAATTAGAGCAGTGATACACTCCCACAACATGTGATGTAATCCCAATGTTATAAAAATGTGCTCTTGTACCAAATTTTTGAACCATGAACAAAATATTATTTTCTATTTGGACAATGTTACTTATTATGCATACTTCAGAATTTGTGAGGAAACAGCAATTATTACGTTCATTTGTGGAAAATGTTATTTTTCCAATTTGTAGCTTCTTAAATTGTTGACAACGATAGGGAGGAATATTTTCTGCTACAGGACCTTCTGCATGACTTTTTGAAGGACGAATTTTTATAGTATTGTCGTCTTGTGTAACAATACAGTCATTCCGTTCTTGCATTCTTTTATAAAATTGTTGCAATGTGAGATGCGGTTTCCTAATATATTTTCTAAATTGAGGCATATTATTCTCATACGTGAATGCGCTGAATGATTCTAAAGACCCTAATTTCCTAACGTCACCTGCAATGTGTAGCAGCCCGTGTACGTTGTAGGAAACATATTGTTTGCCGTACAAATGCTCGCACATATTAACATATGTTTCTAAACCTTCTTGGCAAAAAGTGTACATATCATCGGTTACATTATCACAGCTGAGAATGCGTATCACGCAATGAAGCAACATAAAGTGGTTGTAATATTCTTCATGAAAAACATTTTCCATAATGACCGGGGAAGTATATAATAAGAATTGCCTGAATTCCGTAGCTTTGAAATGATGGAACATACTTAGTTTGTTTGGGCGGCGATTAAATTCAGTAGGACAATGTAATTTCAGTTGCATCATTCTCGAATCCAAGATGTCTAATTGTCTCCTGTTTAATTTTTGATGTCCATATTTTCCCTGAATGTGAGTATGAAGAACTTTTTTCACATTTCCTAAGTATATTAAGTGTAAAGGTTCAAAAGGAACCTGCGTCACAAGTCCTAATATCGAATTTAATGGACTCGGACCTTTATGGTGGTCTTCGTCAACCATGTTATTATACTCTTCATTTGTTCTTAAAGAATGTCGAATTCCTGGAAAAACCATTATTCCCCGATATCCTACTTCTTCGCAGCGATAGCCTTCGACTTTACATTTGGAGCATGCATTTGCCGACATGTGACCATAATAATTTAAAACCATAGCCCTCGCAGGTGCGTCAGCAATAAAACACCGAATATGCAGTGGTAGCCGTCGATTGCGTATAATTATTCCACCTTCTGCACGGATAGTCAAAATTTCCTCAATAAATTTTTCAAAAAAATCAAATGGATTGAGTGGTTTTTGTTGACCTTTAAATACTCCGGCTATCATGGGCCTTTTGTCAGTGCAATTAACAACTCGGAATTGGATGGGCCAAAACTGAAAAGTGCCACTGTTACTCAGTTGAGCTCCATCAGTGCTGAAATCTATTTCCACGCTCTCTGGCAACATTTCTGCAGTAAAGTTTTCCAATTTCTTTTTAAGAATATACTTCAATCCTATATGCAGGTATTCTCCTCCAGGTATTCGTTGCACATGTGCAATAGCGGGAGCAGTGGGGGTTTGTAGTAATGTTCTTACATTTTTTGGCAGAAAACCCAGGTTAAATGGGTGCTCCCTTAATATTTTTAGTAGTATATTGCCTTGTGTATGTTTAATATTTGCCGCTAAAAAAGCATTTTTCAATGCCCTCTTTCTCAAATCATGTCGGTTTTCTGGTATATGATTATCTTCATTTTCCGAAGAGCTGGATGTATTATTTTCTTCGTCCATATAATATTCATCAACATTACCGCCCTCTATTTCGTCATTATTTTCACTAATATTTCCTACTTCCTCTTCATTGCTTTCCACTTCCTCATCTCTGTTAAAACGCTGTTCCTTTTCACCAGTTTTTTGCTCATTATTCTGAACATTGTCTCCATCGACAAATAAAGCAGGATGTAATGGCTGAATTCGCAATGGTTCATCGTTCTCTAAAATTTCATCTGATAGAGAACCATCCAATTCCTGTACTTGAGAGTCTTCTACATGATGTTGAATGGAAAATAACCGCCTCCTTTTTTGCCTCATACTGAGGCTACCAAATATCTTGTATTTCGAGGACATCTTTGCGGCCAATTTTCTGTATGTTGGATAAGCATTGTCGTGAAAGCAAGTTTGTACATAACCATATTAATAGTATTAATTAATCATACATAAACGCAAGCAAAGTGACAATTGGTGTTAACAGCAACAAAAGTTAATTCAGAACCAGCACTGTCAACAAATGGAAAATTACATCTAATCAAGCATATAACATGTACAATTGCTGTATATCCAACTTATTATTCGGAGGAAATTGCAATTAATTTAAATAAACATAATTTTTTGTCAATTTTTTCTATAATATGTATAATGTTTAAAATTTTTTGTCATCTCTGTGCAAAGTCAATACAATATAATTTAATGTAGACAAATGAACAAAGTGAATAATTACATAAATTATATAAAAGCTTTCCATTTTCATTGTAGTGTTGTATTCATATATCATTCACCATTAAGTAAGTAAAAAACGTTCACACTTTCATAAATTGTCAGAAGTTGATAAAATGCAGGTACATATAAAGTGGCCATTAATTATGTGAGCATTTATTGTGAGCAATGTTATATATTTTCTGTTAATTGTTATTCATTATGTTACACGTACCGGCAAAAAAGAAAGTATGAAGATTTTGTACGTGGCTCGAAAAAAGTTTCCAAAAAACTATTAGGTATGATTCAACACACATGTACGTGCAGGCAGTACATATACAGTGTACGTGCAGTATGTGCTTTCTTTTCTTGACAAGTTTTTTTGGAAACTTTTTGCAGGCTACGTACAACAAATATTTCACGGTCATTTCAAAAAACGTTTCTCGGACTTCTCACAAAAATCACTGCGGTACACGTTTCTCTCATCTCAAATAGCCGAATGAAAACAAAATCCTTAATACTGTCCTTCGCACCGATCAAAAACAATAGCTTTGACACAATGGGTCTGTTTTCTATTCCTGCACTGCTGAACTGGCGCGATAAGTTAGAGCGAGAAAAAATATACTTTTTCTCGCTATAAGTATATTTTTTCTCGCTCTAACTTATTGCACCAGTTCAGCAGTGCACGACGGAAAAACAAACGTAATTATTTGTGATAAAGAACGAGAGACTTTGGATAATAGAATCATTCACACACATACAACAGGCGTAAAACATAATCGCGAGGAACACACGTGGAGATAGACAGTCACCAGAGATAATATATCCATCAAGATTAAATGCACGTACTTATCAAGTACTTACAGCGAGCAGTATGTTCCAATGAATGTCCTGTAATTATGCCCGGTGTAATACTGTTCAATACAAAAATCACGCGGCCAAAGCATTACAGCACGAAGCACAGTGACGACGTTGTTACGTTAGGGCGGCGGCACATGAGAAATATCGGTGGAGATGGAAGACGTGTTCGTTGATGCGCCGAATTTTGTTCGGACAACAACACACAATGGTCGGTATTCATAGTCGGATCTTATATTTAAGATCGTCTTAAGTTCATTTTCAGATGGTTCGTAGCCAATGAAATAAGCCGTACAGTATCTGAAGATAAACTTAAAACGGTCTTAAATATAAGATCCAACTATGAATACCAGCCAATATTTATGATAAAGATTCATAAATATTTATGTTAAATTATTTTTTATAAATATGATATGAATATTTTATAAATATTTTATGTGCATAAAGGAAAAAGTACAAAAATCTTTATTAAAAAAATTATTTAATAATTATTTAATTATTAAATAATTTTTAAATAAATACAAAATAATTATTTAATAATTATAAGTAATTTCATTTTTAATTTGTTTCGTGTATAATATTTATAAAAATATTTACAAAATATTACTACAAATATTTGTTTTTAGTTTACAATAAATATTGTATAAAATATTTACTCTATATTTTAATAATTTTTTTAATAAAGATTTTTGTAATTTTTCCTTTATGCACATAAAATATTTATAAAATATTTATATCATATTTATAAAAAATAATTTGACATAAATATTTATGAATCTTTATCATAAATATTGTGTGCTGTGTGGGGTCATAGTCTCCACTGAAGACATAATTTGGTTATTGTATTCTTTATTTAGACTGTTACTACATTACTTGTGTTATAGTTATGCTGATCAAACCATTTATTAATTAAATTATAAAGAAAATAAGAGAGGTGTAGTGTGCTGCCGGCTAAAAAAAGTAGTAAATGTGTGAGAGAGGAGAGAAAAAGATAATAAACAGTATGGGCTTATAGAAAACGCTGGTATGCTCTAAGTCCTGTCCCTACGTGTTTGAAACGTCTACAGGAGGTAACTACACTCACGGCGTGATTGCAGTATGCCATTCATTGCGCTTGCACGCGTGCCCCTATCACGTAGTGCGGGTAGCGTGATGATAGCACTGTGTGCGCGTGGCGTGATACTCACGGCGTGATTGTACAATGCGATTCATAACGCTCGCATGCGTGCCCCCATCACGTCGTGCGGGACAGAATGATAGCACTGTGCAGACACGGTGTGAGACGCACACGTGAGGGCAATATGAGCTCGCACGAATTGTTATCTGGGATATAACACAAATATACTACAGAAAATAATAACGAAATGGCACGCAAGAAAGATTTTGTCATCACGCCATTTTTCACTTTCCTTCGAGGATACACCCATTAGCACACAATATTTTAAAGAAAACAATTTTATCCATAATGCGGGAAGATAAAGTTTCACGAACTGTACGATACAACGAATTGCTAATCATGTATGTAAATATGTTGTGCATAAAATATAAGTCTCAACACCATCACCATCATAATCTTTTAAAATTATTGATTATAGACATCAATTAATATCAATATCAAGTTTAGACGCTTCACAAATAGGTTCATCTGTATGTAATGATAAACGATTGTACGTAGAAGTTTCTAATATAAAATCTGGAAAGAAAAATTATTGTTTGTTTTGCACAAATTTGCAATCACAACTGGCACATCTTGAAACTGTGCATCGCAATAAACCGGATATAAAAAAGTTTTCACTATTACCTAAGAAAAACCCGGAAAGAGAAAAAACTAGCGTTAATAAAACCGTAATGAAAGCAGTCTGCTCACAAGAGATGTAAAACAATAAATCTTCCATCATTAGGAGATATTAAAAAATTATATCAATATTTAAAAGAAAAGCGTACTGAAAATTTTAAGACACTGCATAAATCTTTTTCTTATTGCTATTGGGTTTCCTCGGCAGAAATTACATTAATTTCTGTTCATATTTTGAATAGACAATGGGCAGACAATAGACTTCTTGGAACTTCTTACATCTCTGACATTAACTCTGAAAATTAAAACGAATAAGGAATGAAAAAATGAGACGGTTCGTGAATTATTTAACAAATAGTTAAAGATTTTACTTCTTGTTTTGAATGTTGCAATTTTAAATATTAATTTCATAAGTAAAAGGTAATTAGAGTACAATACTTACATAGTCATCGTAAAGCTTTCTGCTGATTGTGAAGCCACGTTTTAATTTGGGGTGATGTACGTTCAGCAAGAGAAGTATATTTTTTCTTTACGTTTTGTATCTCTCGTAAAGATGGTAATTTTAAATCCTTCATATATTGTGAAAATGCCTGAAGTGCTATTTCTTTTTCTCTCTGGGACCAACGTGTTCTCTTTGTTTTTCCATAAGGAGATGCTAGTATTAAAGTAGAACTAAAGTAGTATTAAAGTAGAACTTATAATATTTACATAAAAATAATAACCATAACCATATATATAAATCTGGCAAAAAATTAGAAGTGTCGGGAAATTATATACTAAATATTAAGTGATTGATACGTTAAATATAAAACCGAAAAAGTTTTCATGCTAAAATATTTTTTAAAAATTTATTAACTTTCTTGTTAACATACTTAACTCTGTACAGACCCGAATTTTGTTAAAGCCCTAAAAATTATAAAGAAAGGTGCAGATTTGTGCTGTACTTCAAGTCGTAAATTCGCAACACTTGAAATATAGAACGAATCTACATTTTTTATAAATATGTGAAGGCCTAATTGCAAAATCCGTCTCTTTAGATAATATATAATGTTTGCAGAGATTACTTCAAAACAAGTTTGGTAAGAAAATATAATTTGTATTAAAAATAAATGAAAATGCGTACGTAACACAAAAAATATCACTAGTCCACACTTCCAGTGATATGTACAACCCACTGTGCAAATAGTAAATGTTACATATTACATACGTAACATATATGTTTAATGTCTTACTCAGAAACGTTTCTTCTACATAATAGCTCTGAAATGTAGCAGAAATGTTTCTGCTACATTTCTGAGCTATTATGTAGAAGAAACGTTTCTGAGTAGGACATTAAACATATATGTTATGTATCTTATTAGATACATATTTGTAACGTTTACTATTTGCACAGTGGGAAGTCTCCGATTTTCTCCTGACTCTAAGAATTAGAAAAAAATTAATTATCTGACATTCGTGAGCCAACAACAGATGTTACAACATCACCTGTTTTCTCACATAGGCCAGGTAAATCATATTTTATATATTCAATGAACCCCGATACAAAATACTCACTAGATCGTTTCCGTTTATTGGTATCTTGTTTATTATGAACATTGAAATCGTCAGATGTATGGAGTACACTTACATCTAAAATAATTTATTTAGACATTAAAAAATTATTCCCTAAGAGTTATTATATAGTGTTTATAAACGAAAGAAAAAAACATTAGGAATAATAAATAAAAGTGAAGAAACAAGGATACAAAATTGAAAAATCGATATAAAATATTGAAATAAAAATATAATTACTTGAAGATATATTTTCTATATCTATATCATTATTAGTAAAGCTTTTATCTCTTGAGTTGTCATGTTTTAAACCTTTGTTATCTTCCTTATCAATGTCACTGTTTGATGAGGAGTCGTCATTTAATTCGTGTGTGTCACCTTGGACTGCTTCTAAATATTGTGAGACTTTTAATATGTCTCGACTTGGTAATGGTTGCCTGTAATGGTCCTTGTGTATTTTGTCTGAATGACCCATAAATGTGGCGAGATCCGATATGTCGATATCGTTCAGATTTAGCTGAATACAATATGTTGCCACGTGTTTTCTTAATATAGTACCACGCAAAGTAGTAGAGTGCATTGCATTACATTCTGTTGCAAATTTACGCATTAAAACACATGCTCTTAAATACCTATATCTTTCATGTTTACCACCAGGTAGCCCAAAAACGTATGGATTTGTATCTGGTACTTCCGCTTCTTTGCGTAATTTTAAAATTAATTTAATACATTGCAATAAATCCTTAGATAATAGAACAGGAACCGAGCGTCCTAATTTTCCTCTTACACAAAATCTTACATATTTTGCAGCAATTTTTCTATTTTCTTTGGACAGTGAATTATAAATGTCACCGTACATCTTTCCATTCAAATTTTGATAATTTTGGAAGTCCTCTATGGGAATTCTTTCAACTTCTCCCGCCCGTCGTCTATTAAAAACATGCACAGAAGTTAATGTAACTTCTGCCAAAGAAACCCAATGGTAATAAGTAAAAGATTTATGCAGTTCCTTAAAATGTTCAGTACGCTTTTCTTTTAAATATTGATATAATTTTTTAATATCTTGTAATGATGGAAGATTTATTGTTTTACGTCTCTTATGAGCAGACTGTGTTTCCATTACGGTTCTATTAACGCTAGTTCCGATGTCTATCACTAATAATTTTAAAAAATCTTTGACTTGTTCCTTTTTTTTGCATCCTCTATTTTTATGCACTTTGTGATAAGGAGATTTCCAATATGTTTTATCAAAGTTGATAAGTTTGCCGCTACTGCTGGAGCTTCATACATTTTTTCTTCCTTATTATATCTTGCAACTATATTAATTGCAGAAATGCAATCATCGTATACTTTCGGGTGATAAAGCGATTCGAAATTATCTATAGTTGAATTTATATTTTTTAATGCTATAAGAAAGCGACCAAGTAGACGTAACCTGGCACGTACCATGTCGTGATGGTGTTGAGACTTGTATTTTATACATAGCATATTATATTTGCATTATTATATTTGCATATATGATTAGCAATTCGTCATATCGTACAATTCGTGTAACGTCATCTTCCCGCATTACAGGTAAAACTGATTTCCTTAAAATATTGTTTGCTAATGGGTGTATTCTCGAAGTAATTTTTCTTCCCATAATCATAATGCATTTATTAGTTTTAAAGTCTCTTTTTAAGCACTTTCTCGAATGGTGACGTATCGTGTTTTTTGTAAAAAAACCTTTACATTTTGCGCAGGCAATAAAATCAGTAGCACGTTTGTTATATTTCTCATTAGGACGTCTACATACGATAAGTTGTCCATTATTTACTTTTGAGTCCGTATTGAACTTGA